CAGAGGTCGACTAGTATAATAGCGAAGAGGAAAATGTCACAATGAAAATAGTCGTAATTCTGATTGGCGATAGCAACGACTTGGAATTTTCACGTACTCGACAGTCACTTTAAAATTCCGTTTGACGGAATTCTGTATTACACAGAGCTTCAAAGCATGTAATGACACTGATGAATAGAAGTAGATGCAACAGTGGAACAAAGGAATACGCTCAGAATGAATTCCTTTCATTTACCAACTACCCAATCAATGAACTCCGCGGAAAAATCCATCCTGAGAAGCTAACTTTCGACTAGTTTGTCAAAAAGTTCCTCGCTTTAATGGAACACAAAGATTCGTGATAAAAAGAGCCCAAAATGGACCATATTTTGACTTAAATAAACCCATCCCACAGTCTTTTATTATATTTAAAATAATTCTTAATATTATCCATCCACACTTTAGTCTTTAAAGTGATATGTTCATGTTATAATTCATGACCAATAGGTTCGTATCGAGTTGGTTCACTTTTGATCTCACAAGTTTATGTATACGTCAGAAGGGGAGTCGAAGATATAGGATTGAACTCCAAAGGGTAGATTTGGCTCGATCTGTGATGGGAAAATGGAAAAACTCACTTTCACGACCGATATATACTGAAGAGCAGACATATATATTACTTGAACCGCGGTTCGGTCTATAGTAATTCATTACGTTCTTCAAACTCTTCAATCTTCGTCAAATACATGGTGACGTTCACTACACTGCACAAAACAGGTACAGCCCACAGGACGGACATCGTAACCCTAACATTCTGTCTCATTTGAAGAATCGATGTCACATTCAGACAGAAATCGATGTGATAAAAAAACGTCAACTTTACAATGAAAACAAATATTATACAGACACCTCCATTCTGTATCTGAGATCAGTTTAAGTTAATTATCTCAGCCTAATCGTATACTGGACATGATCGGGAGGTCCTGGTTCAGATAATCCTGTACCAAATAATTTGCAGGCCTGTTAGTGTCGTCGATTTCGATATATCGATACTGTCCTGAAACTACTTGAAAACTATCAAAATTGCAGCATAGCTACGCGAAAGCGTAATGTGAGATTTCAGATTCTCAAGATGGGTCATCTTCTGGGTTGTTCCGCCGTGCATTCTCAATAGAAATTGACCGATGTTGCTTACTGCCTCCATAACGAAGGCTTAAATATTCCGCGGACTAATAAGAAGTATGATTTTTCTAAATATTTTGTAAAACACCGAACCAGATTGGAAATAAGGGTAAGCGAGAAAAATATTATTTTTTTTCTATAAACTCAATACTTATATTTTGACTATGTCTTTTAAGGATTTTGGGCTTACAAATACATAAGCTTGTGCATAAATGAAAATTAAGGGGAAAAAATATAAACGTCTTACTTGAATTTCACTTAAGGGTAAAAAATGTTTGTAGTATCAACGAAGCTACTCCCTTACGTGAAACAAAACTTGCGATTTCATGGCAGTGAACATGTCACATGGCACTCAGCACACATAAAATAACAAGACTGAAAAGCTAAAAACCTTGAAAGTAACACTACACAGATCAAAGCATCTGGTCCGGCTCGCCAAAGAATATCATATAAACAAAAACAAAAAATAGTAACAGAATAAAAATAAATAAGAACATACACTAGAAATTGTATTTTCCTATCTCACTGTTCCAAGAGCTTTGTCCGCGGGGAACCAAACTCTCAAAATCTGTAAGAATGA